TATATATCATCGAAAAAAGCACTTATTCAATCCAGTCATATATATCATCAATATATATATATATATGCATATATATCATCGAATGAAACTCAAATGAATTTCGTTAAAATTATCATCAACATTATCATTTTTAAATAATAGAAGGTGATAAACGTTATGATAATTGTCGCTGTGATAATTTTCTTCCGTTTTATTTTCGTTGTATGTATCATCGAAAAAAAGCACTTGTTCAATCCAATAATATATATCATCGGTCGAATCTTATATATCATAAATATATATATACAACATATATATCATGAAATGAAATCAAATGAATTTCGTTAAAAATTATCATACCATTATCTTTTTCAAATAACAGATAGTTATAATGTTATGATAATGTTATGAAAGTGATAATGGTTATGATAATGTTATGAAAGTGATAATGGTTATGATAATGATAACATTATGATAATTTTCTTCTGTTCTAATTTTATTTTAAATTAACAATAAATAAATTGAAATATTTATTATTTTATTTGTGTAAAAGAAAAGTGTAAAATTGGAAAATTAAGGGATTCTTTTTTAAAAAAGCGGAATAGTTCATTTCCTTAAATTATTCTCAAAGCAATCTGTCTGATTAATCACTCTTTATGTTTGTTTCTACGGCAGTTGTTAGTTGTGTAAATTGAATAGATATGATAGTGATGCTGTTGTTGATGATGATGATGATGATGATGATGATGATGATGATGCAGATGATATTGATTGGTGGAATATCAGTTGATAAAAGGAATGTTACGAAGAGTAAGAGAGCTGAAGAAGTTTAAAAGTTCGAGAGCTTGAAAATTCAGCAAACTTCATTACTCATCTGTGGCAAAAAGAAGAGGAAGCATTAAGTGTAAAAGGGATTTCCGTAACTATGGTTGATAAGGAATTGGCTATGAAATTAGCAAAACGATTTAATAAATTGAGTTTTGATATGGATGATCGTACTAATGGAATGCAGCAAACTATTATCCCAGAACAATTATCACCACCACCACCACCACCACCACCACCACCACCGCCACCACCGCCATCATCCGAAAAACAGGAAATACCACCATTTCGAGCAATACCGGAGAATGAATGGGCTGATATGGATAAGCTTATCGAACAAACACTTAACAATTTGGAAGTTATTTCACGTAAAACACCAAATACTGCTCTAAGCTCGTTGGATTATGCGCCAGAGCCATTCAAGAAATCCCAATTATCAATGAATACCACCGATACTCTTCGTCATGGTATATTTTATAGTATATTTATATTTAAATAATTCATTAAAAAATTTTATAGTATATTTAAATTAGATATTGGAGAATTTAATGTATTTAATATAATTTCATTGATATTAAATGATAACTTATCAGATAATCCAAATCATTTTGTAAATGATTTATAATGCACCTATTGAAAGATTAATAGTTGTAGTGCAAATGGTTAATCATTTTGATAATAACAAAAACAGCGATTCATCCCCGTTATCACCAAAATGCGTTGCTCCAACTGTTCCCATTATTCATCACAAAAAGAGTTCTCAAGAAACAAAAAAATTTGGTGATAATGATTTGATCGTTCTTCAAAAGGTATTATATTTCTTCTTTTGATTAACCTTTAACCTATATTTCGATAAAAATAATGCATAAATTTATGTTTGCTTAAATTATAGTTTAAGAAGCTCTAATTAGTGCAATATATATTTTATCTCTTTTAATAATATTTCAAATAATTAAATATCTTTTTTATTTTTTCGAAAATTATAAAGAAAATCTTTGACCTCTCCTGTTTTAAAAATGCGGATACATTATCGCAGCGCGGGAAGGTCATTACTGACAAACATATGAAAAGTGATTTTATTCAATTAAGTGAATTGGTGTGTAAAATTTGTGTTCAAAAATTCTTAGTGGTTTCTATTCTTCCAGTGATGCTGTCAAAAAGAAGATGCCTTTGTTTTCTAATGATACTTTCTTTATTCAAATTAAGTTTCCTTTTTAAGCCTTTAAAATTGTTTATTAATTAATACGTATAAATTGTTATTGCTAAATTAGATAGGAATTAAAATGAATTTAATTTGAATTTATTGTTTATGTGATAGAAAGCACTTCAAATTAAAATGAGATTAAATTGATAAAATTTTATTGCAAATTTTAAATGAGATGAAATTGACAGCGATTAATGTTTATTTGAGAGAAAAGGAAAATACAATACAATTAATTAATTACCTTTGAAAGAGAGAGAGAGAAAGCGATCAATTTTTGGTGGGATAGAAATGTTTAAATTTTATTTTATTGTTTAATTAATGCTTTTACTTCCCTTACTTATAATGTTTAATTCCGAATTTCAAATTGACAATAGTAATTTTAATAGTTAATTAACTATGTGAAATTATATATTAAAGAAATTCGTTGCGCAATTTTCGCTCATTTATGATATAAATTAATTAATTATTCATTTATAAATTTAATAGTTAATTTAATTACGATTTTAAATTTTTGAAATTTCCATTAATAATCATTTATAGATATTAGATTATCAATTCAATATTACACGTTCATATTTTATATTTCATATTTTAAAAGTCTTCACATTTTTACTTCATCTTTTACTAGGCCATATTTTAATAGGCTTCATATTTTACAAGGTGATAGATCGTATTTTGAATCAATAAATTATATAAATGATATAGTGGGATAAATTATTTATTAAATGATATCGTAAGAAGATATTTAATATATTGAAAAAAATTAAATTTAATTTCCATATATGGTTGATTGCAAATAAAATGGATTGATAGAATTAACAGTTCTAAATTGAAAATATAATTAATATTCAATTTCAATTTATTTCATCCATACTTCTCTATAATCTTTTTGAAATTGCAACTTTCAAATACAATTATATTAGATATTTGGAAAGAAATAAATTTGCAATTATTAAAATAGCCATTACCATTAAACATTCAATGATTTATTTCATCTTTAATATATTATTTCCATATTCTACTTTTAACTATTTCAATAGGAAAGAAACGAATTGGAAGCAAAATTGGCAAAACAACGACAAAAAAAATCAATTATGGAAGATGCGGAAATTACTACAACTCCGATTGCTCGCATTGATACTGATACAATTAATGAAACAAGAATTGCTTCAGAAATTGATAAATCTCAGGTTACGGCATCTATCAAACAATTACCACCACAAGTTTTACCAAAGACTACTTCCATTGATTTAAATTTAATCGAATCACAATCACAATCACAATCGATAGATATCCGAAAGCCACCACCAGTTTCAAAAAAACCTACTTCATCCGTAAGTGATATTTAATTTATCAATTTTAGTAAATAACAATAGTTTCATTTTGAACTTCTAACTTTTCTATTCATAACCTTTAGTGTCATACAACAATACTAATCAAATAAATTATACATTATGTTGTGATCTAACGACCTGATAATCTAACCTATGTTATTTGAATAATCTCATTATTACGTCGATATTTAAGGCATCAAAATTTGATTGATAAAAGATTTTAATAGATATATTCAAAAACTGAAAATAATTTTTTCAAATTGAAAATTTGAATTAGATGAAATGTATTCAATGATGTAGAAATGAATTTTATAAAACATACTTCCCATCATATGATGATGTCTAAGCCTCATTTCATTCTTTTTAAGTACTATTATTATTACATCTTTTAATACCTTATCGTCGTTAAATGACTTGTCATTTCTGCATGGTTAATTATCTATTAATTACTATTGTGCGGTGATGTCTGTTATTGTATCATTCATTGCTGTTCCATTTTCGACGATCGTACATTTTATTTTCTCATAATACTTTTAAATCATTTTTACATCTTTTTTATATCCATGAATGGAAGAGTTAAATTCATTGAAGTAAATCTTCACCATAATATAGAAGATTCAATGAAAATGGTCATTTCTAAGTTACATTTCCTTTTTCTTAAATTCAAAACTTCTATTGCAATACTATTGTCGTATATTACATATACATCTTGTTTTGTTCTACATTATCGTCTTTCTATAAATGGATGGCTGTCGGGATAATTTCATCATATTAATTAAATTAATTCTCTCAACTACCATCATATATATTTATATATTTAGAAGTCCGTTACATTGCTCTAATTAAATCTTATAATATTAAAAACTTCAAAACTTTTTTTATAGTAAAAACTTTAAAACTTTATTTCTCTCCTAATAATATACTTTTTTTTGCTTTTTTTCTTTGCTACAAAAATTTTAAAAAAAGTTTAATTTTTTTGTTTACATGAAATTTTGTTTGTTTACAACAAAAAATTTGGAACTTCATTCATTCATTTTACCTTTATTTACAAATCAATTTTTTGTTTTCTTTTTCATTTAATTAGTTGCCATTTTATTTTCAATGAATAAAATACCATTTCGTTATTTTTTGATTCAATGAAAAGATATTTGAATAAGTTTAAAATTAAACTAATCATAATTGGATACGCTTGGTACCACATTTTAAACATTCATATTTATCAGCCATAATTCGGTCATTATCGTTAGTATCACATTTTAAACATGCATATTTATTAGTCGCAATGCATTTATCATACACAATATTACAATTTAAACATTCATATTTATCAGTTACAATTCGACCATCATCGTCTGTATCACATTTTAAATATTTATATTTATCATTACAATCCGATCATCATCGCTAGTATCACATTCTAAAATTCGTATTTATCAGCCAGTTCTATATTTATCAGCCACAATTTGATCATCATCATCAATAGCACATTTAAATATTCATATTTATCAGTCATTTTTATATTTTCAGTCACAATTCGATTATCATCATCATCATCATCAGTATCACACTTTCAATATTCATATTCGTCAGCCACAATTTGATAATCATTGTCAGTATCATATTTTAAAATATTTATCAGCTACAATTTGATCATTATCATCAGTATCATATTTTAAATATTCATATATATGTCAGCCACAATTTGATCATCATCATCAGTATCACACTTTAAATATTTATATTTATCAGTTACAATCCGATCATCATCATCAATATAATATTTAAGATATTCGACATTTATCAATCATAATTCCATTATCATCCTCCCTACCAATAATAGCTATTTGTCGATCGATGACTGAAATCAAAAATAAAATATTCTCAGTGCAAGAGATCAGAAATAATCAATCGTATATTCATTTCACATATCTATATGTTTACATGTTATTACGCCTGAGAAAACGAGAAATTAAATGCAAAACTTTTCATTTATTGTTTTCATAAAAGTTTAGCATACAATTTTCTTGTTTAGCTCTTCGCAATAATCCCATAAGTATTATCAGCAAAAATTTTGCAATTAAAATTATCGATTTTTCATACTTTTCATAATCGATTGAATTATCGATTTTTCATGATCGATTAAATTATCGATTTTTCATATTTTTCATGATCGATTAAATTATCGATTTTTCACATTTTATCAAACAAAATTATAGTTATTACAATTTTTAGGTACAAAAATTTTGCAATTAAAATTATCAATTTTTCATATTTTATCAGATAAAATTTCAGTTATTGTGATATTAAGGTTATTTGCAAAATATAGAATTATTGGTAGCGAATTCCTAAATTTATTACTTACATTTATTTGTATCGGCATTTATTCATTCAGTTTTATCGTATCATCGAAGAGATGATATTGTGATATTATTATTCATATCGTAACTATTTACTTCAAGTAATCTGATAAAGATTGAAGTGGTCTTCTTTTAATGTTTTGTTTATAAGAGAAATATAAGTTATACTAGTATACCATAGTAGTATTTAGTAATACTAGTAATACTAAAGATAGTTTGAAGTAAATAGTATAATAATCAAATAGTATATCACTAAATGTTATCAATTGATTTGATTATGATATAGCGATGAGTGAGATAATCTTTTTATCCTTTTTGACAATTAAGAATACTATTTTGATTAAATTTGGATTTTACATTTCACAACTTTTCTCTCTCTTTCCCCCTTTCTCCCTCTCTCTCTCTCTTTCTACCAAAACAATTGAATTATTGAATTGAATTGCTAGAGGTTGAAATTTCATACTTTCATAGTGATAAATTAATTATATTCCTTTCATTAATTATCAGCAAAAGTTAAGTGAATGTTTTTGAATAATATTAACATATAAATGAATACTTATTGTTTCAACTTATCAACTGATAGTGGCGATAAATCAATTGCTTTTTATCAATTCTTTAATTTCAAATTGATTTAAATTTTAATTAATTAAATTTAAATTTTAAATTAAATCGTAAAATTTCACTTCTCAAATAAATACAATCAGCCAGTAAGATGTTGCATAGTATTTTAACATTAATTTATCATCCATATTTATTTTTGCAATCGTAGAAGTACTAAGAGAATATAAATTGATGATGATGATGATAATGATGATAATGATAAAGAAGAAGAGATTGAAAAAGGTTACTTTAAAATTTTCGTCACATCACTTATTTCATCGAAAAGAAAAGAAGGAATTTCCGCATACTTTGGTATTGAACGTTTTGTTGTTCGATTTCAAACATTTCATTTCATTTAATTAATCATTTTAATCTTTTTGTTTAAAATTGAACAAAGAAAAGGCAATTTCTTTCTATCTTTGTTTTCTAATTATTTTTCACTTTAACAAAATTTTAAAGAAAATATGAGCATTAAATTTGTTTTGTATATTTTTAGTTTGCAGAGCGATATGATAATTATTACTGATATTTATGATAAATAATAATATTATCAGTCATCTTATCACAACTTACTTTTTCACTTATATGATAAAGTGAGAATGGATTAATTTAAAAGAAAAAAGACAAAGAAGGGAAAGAATGATTAAAAAATTAATTTTTATAATTTTTACTGTCTTTCAGAATTTTCTTTAATAATTAAGAATGAGAATGAAGAGTGGACTATGGTCACAGAATTAAGATTGAGAGTGAAAAATGGACAATGGTCCTCAGGATTAAGGTTGAAGGTGAAGAGTAAACTATGGCCCATAGGACTAATATTGAAAGTGAAAAGTGGACTATGACCACAGAATTAAGATTTAGAGTAAAGAGTGGACAGAGATTTAGAGTAAAGAGTGCATCGGGATTAAAGATGAAAGTAGAGAGTGGACAATGGCCGCAGAGTTAATATTGAGAGTGAAGAACAGACTATGGTCCTCAGATTGAAAGTGAAGAGTGAACTATGCTCCATAGGACTAAGACGGAAAATGAAAAGTGGACAATGGCTAAATGAATTAGATTGAAAGTGAAGGTTGAACAATGGTGCCTCGGGATTAAAATTGAAAGCAAAGAGCGGACTATGGCCACAAAATTAAGATTGAGAATGAAGAGTGGACAATGGCGCATTGGGAATAAAATTGAAAGCAAGAAGTGGACAATAGCTACATGAATTTGATTGAAAGTAAAGAGTGGACAATGTTGCCTTCGGGATTAAGATTGAGAGTGAAGAGTGGACAAATGGTTACAGCAATAAGATTGAACGTGTCCACTACAAAATATCATAACTAAAATGTCTTTGCATTTATTTTACTTTTCATATAAACAAATTTAAATCATTTTGTTTATTCTACTGGAAACATATGTTTTATCTAAAATTTTTCAAAAAAGAAAATTTATAAACTATAAATTTATAATATAAATCAAATATATATATATACAATTCTGACTTTATTTTGAATTAAAATTTTTATTCAAATAAAATTTAAATAATTTTATAGCATTTCTATTTAGTACTTTTCTCTTTTCAAGTTTGAAAATTTGTCAAAATTTAAAAATTATCTCATTCTATTATTTTATAGTTTATATACAATTGGAAAAAGATTAATAATATTGTAGTATTTTTTCAAATTTAAAAATTTGTCAAAATTTAAAAATTATCTCATTCTATTATTTTATAGTTTATATAAAATTGGAAAAAGATTAATGAGTATGTTTTTTTCATTGTTGCTTATTTTATTCGTTTTCATTTCTTGCTGATTTTAATAACTGTTTACAATGATGAATCAATTCGAATAATTTATTGTTAACAATTATCAATGAAAATATCACCATTATCACCACTTTCCCGACGTTACTATTGTCCCATTTAATCGATTGATAAGTATTTGAAGATTGTCTAAATTCCAGTTTTTTCATAACTATTCTTTTATTTTAAATTTTATTTTACCACACTTTCATATCACACTTCTTTAGTCAATTGCGCTTTCTGATAAAAATCATAATTAGCTCAAATAATTAGAA